AAAATTTCTGTACGCCTTGAAAAAGATTCCCCATTTCATATTCTTTATTCCTATTACATGTATTCATATTGATGCAAATTATATACTTCACTATAGTTGACATGTACATAGCCAGACATGTACTGAAAAGGTGTTATTTCCGTTTTTCTTCCATTTGAAATTCGCTTCGCGCCCGAATAACTCAGCCCCCCGGCATGGTCGCTTCGTTCTCTCAATTGGACCCCCCCCCACTTTGAAAACCGTGGCGCCGCCCCTGATATAGTGAGGAGATCATGGCAGTATTGAATTAGTTTTCAGTCATGAGACCATAGAGATATATTATTGCTGATTTACATCTTCTAGAGAATATAGAGTGCTCTTTTAAGACGATCGACCCCCTCCAATGCACTGACCCGCCCCTTTATTAGTACGAGTTCAAGCAAAGGTTAAAATATACAATGACGTATACAAACGTATCTATCCTGTGACCTGTGACCATGCCTACAAACTTTGTATCGAAGCGCCACCTATAAAAGAAAACCAACAAGTGGACAGCGTTTCAAAGACAGAGGCCATTTCCTCAGATACACTTTCGCAGTTATGTTATTGTGATATTTCAGCTAGAATCACGCTTTAATATGGAAGATTCGAACAGTCAACCTCCACGGTGTCCGTGTGGATTTTGGGGGTAAATCAATAGTTATTCTAGCTTTTGTTATAATGAATTTAGAGTAGAAGAACAGCTGAGCTCTTCATCAGGTATTGCGATAAAAGTGACTCAGCACAGCAGTGTAATTATGAATCAAGGCAGTTGGTTACTGTACCTATTTAGCTGGTTCCGTTCAGATACGAACGCAACGTATATTGCTCGTACAAGTATCACGATTAGTTAGAACCCCATTCCTGCGTGTTATCTGTGTTTCTGCCTTTAAAGACACTGATTAGAAAAAAAAGACAATCAACATTTTAAAGTCATTATTACAATAACAGTAACACTGGCTGTTCTACCACGGCACTACCAGTATTCATTGATCTGTTGGTCAAAGTCACAGGCACTTGGACCGTTTCAATAATAAAATGATGGTTAATAAATACTACTTGTCAGTACTACTACTAGCCCTACCAGTATCAGTACCAGTATTAGTCTTATTGTTTGATTTGACCTAATAACTTCACTTCAACACCGTCCAATACACCGCTGCAACACATAGCGCGCACGCTCTTGTGCATGCACAAATACACAGTGATAGAGAACTCTCTATCAGTGTGTATTTGTGCATGCACAAGGGCGTGCGCGCTATGTGTTGCAGCGGTGTCATCATTTTATTATTGAAACGGTCCAAGTGCCTGTGGTCAGAGTCTGTTATAGCATATGTTTCACTTTCTCTTATTTGACATGACACCAGCTTTATCCAAGTATATGTCTCAGTTTAGTAGCACTTAGGTCTCTGTATTGTAGTCCTGCAAATTAGTGTAGAATTCTATATTGCAATGTGGGTCAATGCCCTGAGTGGTTGACTTGGTTTTAGCATTTTATCTTGTAGTTATTTACATGCACAAGGATTCAACTTCTGACAATAACTTGTTTTCTCAATCCTGAGCACAATTTTATAACAATGATAGGAGATTTTATTGTGTTTATTTGAAAAATTAAAATGGTATCAGAAGTACAGTTAAAAGGGGCGCAAATCCACTTTAGGCACCTTAGGTATCACGAAGTGATGCACAGATTTCTGTGTATCATCAACTGATGCACAGACTTTCCGTATATCAAGGAATGATGCAAAAACCCTAACCCTAACCCTAAGTCATAAAGTATAATCTTAGCCTTAGGTATCACCATAGATATATACAACACTTATGTTGTATATATCTATGGCATCACGAAGTGTGTTACTGTTAGGGTTAGGGTTAGGGTTTTTGCATCATTCTTTGATATATACGGAAAGTCTGTGCATCAGTTGATGATACACAGAAATCTGTGCATCACTTCGTGATACCTAAGGTGCCTAAAGTGGATTTGCACCGTTAAAAAGTGCAACGCAGGGTGACTCGTTTAATTTACAGGAACAAAAGGATCTAAGCATTGCCACAGAGGCGTTTCTTTGTGTATTTGCCATTACCCAGGTTATTAAAGTGAGGATTTCTCATGTTTCTGCCAAACATTTTCATGTTTTCTAGAATGCTCTAGATAGTAATGTTTCTGCCAAACATTTTCATATTTTCTAGAATGTTCTAGTACTTCATGCTATTCCTTGCACAACACTGGGTGTATATAGTAAGGCTAACTTGTCATAGCACATACGCACAACATTCTTTTTATCAATATGTACACCGATTGGCATTTCAAATTAGATTTGTCAACATATGTCAACAAAACTAGCACGTCATTTTTGCTATCACGAGATGCCATTCACTGGAACCCTGTCTCTACACTAGGTTAATTACCTTTGTATACATTTCGAGATAGGTACCAGTCTCTAAATATTTGCATCACGTAACTACATGCGCATTTGGTGGCAGCATTTGAAAATTCTATTATCACAAATCTCAATATAGCAAGTATGTTTGCTGTTCAGTTAATGTTTTATAGCCTATATTAACATCAAAAACTTGTAATAATTTTTATGCTGAAGTAATCAGTAATATGTATGCCAACAGGTAAGACTAAATTTGTCTAGATTTATTTAAGAAATCATTTTAAACTGTAAAATGACGATCTAACAAAATGAAGATTTTGTTGGTTTATTGGATCTTGACATTTCACAAATACAACTTCAAATTTATTATTGATCATGCCACTAGTAGTATAATTCAAATGTAATGAATTGAAATTGAAATGACTCTTTATTGAATGGTTTTAACATGAAATAGGTGAATGGGCATTAATTTGTTTTCATAAGATATGACTTGCAAGTGATGCTTGTGACAAACCTGTGCTTGGAAGGTTGCATAAGCTGTTACCAGTTTCTTTTATTGATAAAAGGGAATTGTGTCAAACATTTAAGTTAATAATTTCAGACTGCTAGTGACCCTTAATCAGTTTTTGCAAACAATATATGTGTAATTTTCTATTTATGTGTATTAAAACAACATTGTTGAACTTCACTTTCTTGTAAAATAGGGTAGTACCATACTGTATGCTCAGTGCCATAACAACAAAGCATGCTGCTCAAGGCTAATAGAGCACAGTGCTGCTGGCCAGAGATTTTTAGTGGAGCATTAATCAAGGCTGTACGTTTTTGTGTGAGCCCTACTTGGTCGACCAGCGTAGATGTTGTTAAAGCCCACAAATGTTTGGTAGTATATAAATGGTTCAATAATGTGCTTTGTGTAAAACACACTCCTAATTGCCTCGTTTTTTCTTTTCAGAAATAGTAGCACAAATAACCTTTGCTCGAAATGCTGGGCTGGTAAGTAGTTGCTATTTCATTGAATTTATGTAGAAAATCATTCTTATATATATATATCATGTGTACATAAGGTTTAGCTTATTTTGCTGACTAAACATTAGTTGCAATTTAGTACGATAAGCTTCAAACACATATTGAGAGTGTATGCTATGATAATCGCTTTCTAAGATATTTGCATTTTAAAACATCAAGTTGTTAGTAGATATGTCAATTTTATCATTTAGGCAAGTCTCTGAATTTCTAGTCCTACACTAACTGCATGTGTTCATATCAGTTTCAACCAGCGTTAATTGGTAACCATTGTGGGTTTAGTGAGGGTGCATATTTCAACAGCAACAGATTCTATTGGGGTATATCAGGTTCCTAACATTGATATTTACATAAATCCGAACTTGGTGACGTGAAGCAAAAATTATCCCTTTCTATTCGGTTTAGTGACTTACTTGAAAGGTCAGATACTCTCTTACACTGAGAAATGAAGGAAGTCAATTACAATAAATTAAGTGTGAGCATTACTAGCGCATTCGCAGCTGCACCCATTTGTTGCCATATTTCATAGCTACAGTGATAATTACAAATACTAACAATTTTGGTACATGTACCCATAACCTTGTAGTAAACAATACTATTTGAAGTTTTGATAGAAGGTGGTGCATTAAGAGACAAAGAAACAGTGGCATGTTGGCAAATCTAGGAGGAAGGAGTAGATGGTGAACAAAATTAGACTAAGAAGTCAGGTGACATGTCATATGATAGCACACAAAAACTTATGCATGTTTGTTTCTGGCACCACTTTTTAATACATTTTCACGAATCCTAAGAGTGCTTGTAGGAGTTTGCAGCCCATAAAAACATAAATTCTTTATTCTTAGAGTATCAGAAACGTGATGTGTGATATTTGTTGTCCAACAAATATGTTCTAGCTAACATTCTAAAACAATGGTCTTTAATTCAGACGTTTTTCCAAACCTCTCGTTCTTCCATGCTCTCATATTTTGTCGACTGTTTTGATACTTACTAGTACTCCTTGTGTAACACCAAGTGTATATATAGTAAGGTTATCATGTTTAAAAGAACAGACTGAGCTCCACACACATTATTTTTACCAATATGTGCACAGATCTGCATTTCAAAGTAGATTTGTTTATATATGTCAACATCACTAGGGTGTGATTCTCGCTTTCGCGAGATGCCGTCGACTGATACCCTCTCATGCTTTGTTACCTTTGTCTACATGTCGAAATAAGGTACCAGTCTATAACAATCTACATTACACGTGCACTTGCAGTGTTATTGCAGTATATTTTTTATCATTTTCACGAATCTTAGGAATGCAGGTGCAAGTTTGCTGTTTATTTGCTATTTTATAGCTTATAACTGCACTGACTCATAGTAATTTTTATGCTGAAGTAATCAGTAATGAGCCCCCGAACAGATGAGACCTAATTTGCCTACATGGAATAATTTCTATTATATGTGAGATAATTATTTTAAATGATATTACAGTGAATCATACATGAGGGTAATCCCAGCTTTACCATGACTGAATTTAGGCAGTGTGAAAGTGTGAGGGTTTAATAGTTTTGCTGGAAGAATACTGCTTCAAAACAAATGATGTCGTGTGATGGAAACAAGCAAGATAAAAATTAATTGCAACTGAAATACAGATACGAGCCACAGTCAAACACCTCTGCTTATGTGACAGTTTTAGAGAATCTTTCATCATAGCTCAACATGAATTATCTAGGAGGACATATTTTCTTCCATGATATATTGTCCTCTAACATGCTACAGCTTTGTATTAACATCAAATAAATGAGGTAGATTTAATTGAATTTTTTCTTTGGCAGACCATCAGAAAAAACAAAGTGAACCTAAACCTGACGACGCCTCTCCAGCTGCGTTCGCTGCAGCGGACGTGGTTTCTAAAGTAATGGTGGATGCTTCTCAAGGTACAATCTCATAGCTCTGTGCACTGCTCAACGTCAAGTATTGACCGAGTTTGCTAGAAGATAGTTTAGTATAATTTGCTACTGGTCTGTACAGTATCATACATACGTGCTGGGAAAAAAAAATTAAATTGAAGTTATCCAAAATGTGAACAGGCCCACCCAAAATTTTAAACAGGCCCTTAGACAAATTGAATAGGCCCTTACAAGTTTGAATAGTAAACGTTAAACGTTTGTTAAATTTATTACATTATTAATAAAAGTATTAGCTTTGTGTTTATTAGGCATGCTCATAGTATTTAACTATTTCATTGCTATCAGTGGAGTTCTACTTGTTGACAGGAATTGCTGGAACATGATTTACTTCTTAGTAGTCACTAAGTAAAAACTAGTAAGGAAATTGGTAAATATTGTTGATATAAAGGCAAGATAGGCAAAATTTTGAATTTAGGCCAAGTGGACTGATTATATGGGGGGTTGAACCGGCGGCCGCCGGCATTATAGTAATAATTTCACGCACTGTACGTGTGTGCATGTAAGTTTATATGCGCATGCATACATTGTACACACGTGGATACTTACACACACTGGATACACGGATGTACACGTAAAGATCCACATGCTATCCCAATGTTTTTAAGTATGCATTCTTGGAACATGTATATATATGTATGTATTATGCAGCACACAAACATGCATACACACTAGGTCGCATGTGCTGAGTGGTTAACATTCTACATAATGTAGACAAATTGAGACGTCTATGCAAATTACACAGTGCAAACTCTTAGATGGCACGATAAGGAAGTAACTGACTCTTGATAGCGGGTAGTGATGTAATCTGAATGAGTTGGTACAACCAACGAGGATCGGTAGAAGCACGATCTGCACTTGACATAAACTGTGTTGTTTTGCTACAGACAGCGAGCCAGCAACGTCATCAAGAACGTTGACGCCGACTCGAGATGACGAAGACACGAAGTCCGATCAGTCGGATGGTGCGAGTGGCGCGAGCACTCCGGACAGAAGCAACAACGGCAAGAAGCAGCGAGACAACAGTGATCTCCTCGACCCCGATAGGCCGGTGCAGAAAAACAAGAAGCGCTGCTTCAAGTGTAAAACCAAACTAGAATTAGCATTCAGAGAGATGGGAAGATGCAAATGTGGTGAGTCGTCGTCATATCAACGCATCCGTGCCTGCGCTGTGTGCTCATCCCCTGCACGTCAGCCCCATATGCTACCTCTTGTTGATGCAATAAACATGTAGAGGTTTGCATAAACAAGTAGGATAATTAAAGTTTGTGTCTCAAGAGTATTTGCTTCACATGCACTGGAATGAATTCAAAATAAAAGTTCTGTAGAATGCCACTGATGTGGGTGGAGCTACAGAGCTCTGTTCACTTGTCTGACGACAAATGTTTTAGTACGTTGCGTGGAAGTGACGAAGTATCATAGCCTGATCTCCTAGAATACGGCTATTGCTGCCTTAGGCAGCATCATTGCTGTGGATGCATGTATTTATGGTATCCAAAATACACCTGTAAATATTTTTCTCTTGTTTGCAGAGTATGTTTATTGTCCACTACATAGATTGCCTGAACAGCATGACTGCATATATGATCATAAAGAGGATGGCAGGAGAGAGGCAAGAGACAAGATGGTGCTGCCAACAAGATATTTAGGGCGATCAGTGCAAGGACTGGATCCGAAGTAACGAATTTTTTGATGTGGGGTTTTGGGGTTTTTTTGTGAGCATGGACATGCGTTTTGTGTAGGATTCTAACTTTGATTCCCGGAGAAAATTCTCAGTCATTTACTGCTGCCGTTTAAGGACACTGACTCGAGGTTTTCTTTGAGTTTCAACATGACCATAGTTACTGATAGCAGTTTGCGTAGAGTCCCTTTAATATTTATAAAGAAAAGATACTATTAACAGTTTACAGGTGCGGCGTGCTGGTTATTTTGATAGTATTAACACGTGAGAATGCATATTCACTGCTTCACCTGGCACATGATGCCAATGCTGTACATTGTATAAATATTGTCTATTGATCATTCAGATTTCGTTGCTAGTGAAGTCTGTCACTGATGCTAGCTAGCATCTCACACCAGGTTCTTCAACACAAAGCCAAATTTTGTCGACACTCCCCACCTTTATCCCAAGTCCCCTTCCCTTTCCACTGCCTAAGTTAACTTTATACACGTGTGTAGCCTTTGTACATTTATGCACTCGTATTTAGGGGGTTGATTTGTAAACTGAGTAAATCTAATATAAGTAACTATGTTTAGGTCATGCACAAGGTACGTATCGCACTGCAACATCGAGCTGTATAATGACCAAGGAATATATTTGGCTGAGGCGGTTCTAGCAATGACAGCCTCCAAGAAGTTTATTTTGATGCCGAGATTCGGTAGTAGACGAGAATTCACGTCCAAGGTGTGCAGATTTACTACAAGATCACCCACGTAACAGAAAATCCAACGTTTTGAACCATTTCTTCACATAGACATTCATAAATCATCAACATGGCAGTTACACCATCTCGCTACCCACCCATCCATCTTTTCCCATTCCCACCGGCTGGAATTGAGAACGTGCTTGACCATAGCCGTTCTGCACACAAACATTCAGCATTTGTAGGCTTACGGTTATGGTAAACCATAACATTGTCCCCGACTGACCTATTCACCCTATTCTATTTCTTTATGTACGGCCAGATAAGCTGTGACAGCATTTCACCCACCCCACTACTCTTAGTACTCAAATACTGCTTAGCTCTTCTCAGTTTGTTTCACTGTTATTATATGAAAATGAGTGCTGGTGCTGGTATCATATTTTTCCTACCAAACGAGTGTTCTAATGCTCCAACCCTGCCGATAAACTAGGAATCAGTGCCCAGCATATGTAGTGGCTTTAGATTAATTATTTATACTTTTGTGGCGAAATGGTGTGTACGTTTCTCCTCCACCTCATGTACGGTCAACTGGTAGTGTACTAACTTGACTGTACATTGTGAAGTGCATTTTTGGTGAGTACTAATATTACATTACTGCAGAGACAACTGTTTTTGGAGACGTCATCCAATATGTAAAATCTGGTATGATGAGGAACCTAAAAACCTTTTGGGTTTTTAATGTTAGAAACCTACTTGCATATTTTTCAATTGTTAAGCTGGTTTTGCTCCAAGTACAACGATATTTATTACTACATGTTACTGTTAGTAATCATATAATAGGAAATTGCAAACTAATATCTTTTTGAAAAACTACCAAAGTGATGTAATACACTACTACAGGCGGATTCTACAGTAGAAGATAATGATGCCAGATGATACAATTACAACTCGTAGAAAACGTTAATACAAAATAAATGTTGGGTGGGTTTTTTTACGTTTTGACCAAGTGTTTGAAAGTCATACCAACACACAGCATACGACTTCAAGACAATGCATGCCATACTAGGAAATAGCATATGATATGCATGACATGGAAATGCAAATTGTGCAGGTTATTGTAATGTCAGTTTTGTGGTGCTGTATATTGCCACAATATTTAATTTCTTGGCGTAAGCACCTCTTTAATAGGCTCCATCTGCAATAGGCAAAACAACCACTAAATAACAAGGACAGACTATGATTTTAAGATGATCCAAGCGGTAATTCCCGGCATCGGACAGTAATAACCAACTAGTTTGTTAATCAACAGAAAGTACACTCTGCAAGTCCTTTCAATGGGTTGCCTACTATCTCTGTGTTTTCTACTCACACGTGTCTGCTTGTATTTTTAGTTGCTTAATTTATTCCATCGGCACTCGAGACTTCAGCAGTGTTCGATTATTTTAATGTTTGCTGATATCCCCTTCAAGCCTTCGTCACGAATAGCAAAAGTGCATGAAATATTGTATCGTTTTATGCAAAAAATGTGTAATGATTATTCTATAGCAAATGATAGTACATATATATTACTCATACTGTAAATAGCTTTGGCTAACCTAGCTGCAGGTGGTACGTGTTTGGTCCGCCGTCCTCGTGTATATGGATGGTGGCCCTCTCACAAGGCTGCACTTGCCAGTAATGGGCATGCCTGCTCTTCGGCGCCTGCACACCTTAAGCAGTGCTTCCAAGTGCCCAGTGCTGCCTGTATTCTCACATGTTTTTAGAGAAGCTGCAATTCCGTGTACGTGTGGCACTGACATGTGCCGTCACGAATACAGTATAAATTTTAGGCAGAAATTGATCCGAACGTGCGCGGCTTTTCGTCGTCGCCATTGTGTTGGTAATCTCAAGAATATAATTTCAGCAGAGCTAGCGTAGGTCGTTTTGTGTTCACTTTTCTGTAATCACATGATATCCGTATATTTGCGCGGATTTTATTTGATGACAACTTTTTTTTAATCCATCTCAAACCTTTGCAGCAAAAGAATTTTAGAACAGAATCATGATTCAGTTTTGCAGGGTTGGTCAGGGTTGTGTGTGTGTGTGATTGTGTTTGTGGATTCACAGGATCCCTGTACTGGAGTGTATGTAAATAGAACAGTCTGTAGTCAATTTTACCAGACCTGTAATTCTATTAAATGTTATGTGATACTAAAATAATTATGGGTGTTGATGTTATTTTAATCTATTATATTTTCATCTTTTCTGATTCTCTCTGATTTACTGCCATACCTCAAGAGTGGTTAGAGAATCTCTAGTTAATGAATACGTATACAGAATGCACACATGGGTAGCAACCCCGATGTGTATAACCAACAGATGTCTCACAGAATTAGAATCGATTCACAGCTGGTCAGTGTAACTCTATGCAAAAATAAAACAAGTGGAGATTGGCCGATCAAACTAGTTTCTTATTAAAGTTGGGGTATTTCAGTTGGAGTGACTAATGGAACGATAAGAAAACAGGATACACATGGTTCTAACAATCGTATGCAAATCGAAAACTGGGTAATAAGTCGTGCAGTTTGAAACCGTATGGTCGGAGAGAAGATAACGTATTGCGTTTTGTTGAGTGTAAAAAATGCTACAGAAGGAATAATATTTAACTTCAGTAGATGGACAAAAAATAAAACAACTGAATTTTACATGCATTTACTAGTAAACCATTATTGAAATTTAAAATATAAATGGTAAATTTGCCAGTAAACATTTCTATTACTAAATGATTGCATGACATGTATATAGTCTCACAAGATGGTTCTAGAGCTCGTCCTTTCGCTTGATGTCAAGTAGCTCCACTTCAAATATCAAAGTTGCATCAGCTATATTAAAAAAAGATGATTACAAAAAATGTTGCAAAAGAAGTGTATCCACTCGCCAATGCACCAATGAATCGCTGTATTGTGCATGGAATATGCACACCATACGTGATACACAGTGGGAGTATCTCTATACTACACATTTAAACAAATACTAGTACGCCAATACTCCTACAGAAGAACACACATGTATATCACGATCTGTAACATTCTGACTTGAGTGTCGCAATATGTAACCTACCATGGCTGTTTACACGCTCTTGATATCGTTACACCTCTAGTTGCAAACAAGTGCACATAGTTCAGCAGCACTAACAGCTGAAAATTGGTGTTTGCCAATGGTGAGCTATATGGCAATGTGAGATTAATTAAATCAGTCACTCTTCAATAAATTTGAGATAGTTCCAGTCCGTTACTTTATCCGGTAACTATCTCTGTATAGGCGACCTACGAACAGCTCTCTTTGCACCATCTCTTCGACCATCCTCGTTGAACCTACCTGGTATCCGGGGAGGAGCACCACGTGAGCCGTAGCCAAGATCTGATGGTATCACAAGCTTCCTCTTCTCTCCAACACACATACTGTGAAACAGAAAGACCGAGGTCAGAAGAGAGGTGGGTGATACTCCATTATGAGTGTTCCCAACTTTAATGTCATTAATGGTGATGGTCATAATAACATATATATATATATATGGTCATTATTATATTAGTTTGTGCTTTAATGTCATTTAGGTTAGGGTTAGGGTTAGGATTATCAATCATTAATCATTAATCATTAATGATATCAAAGTTGGGAACACTCCTAAGGGAGCGTTAGCCGAGGATAGCTATACTGGATGAATATCGGTTGACAATTGACATTTTTGACTAAAATAGTCACTAGCTTGGCCTTGGGTAATAGAAAATGCAAAATTGCATCGCAACAATGGTTTCTAACAAGTGCGCAATGACAAAACGTCATGTATTCCAGAAATGTTCACAAATTTTAATCCTAAAAACAAAATCAAACAAATTCATGCTATTTCTTTCCACGACATGTAGCACTAGAAATATAAGCTTGGCACAATATTGTGCTCTCACCTCACAACATTCTTGTCTGTACGTGTTGTGACAACGATATCATATGTTAGACAAAGGCTTTGACTAAAGTGTGAACCTTTGTTCTAAATTCAAGCTACTGGAATTTCTATAAAAACTCCTTTGTCTTCACTGCAACACATTCTTATCAGTTTAAAAAATATCACGTGCACTGCTATCATAGGCTTTCAACTTGTTTTTTTGACTGTTCGAAATTTGGATGGATTCTCTTGTAACTCCTTTGTTTAGAGGGTACTCAAGTTTTTAAATACATAGGTTCCCAGTAGAATTAAAAAGAAATAAGGAATAAATAATATTTGATGGTCAAATATTCTAATTAAAAAACTACTATTAAATTTCTATTTATTTTAGTTTGATCTCTTCTGGTTACTTTAAATTCAAGTCTGATTCTTTTATACTATGTTACTCTTCGACCGACTGTTTACTGCCCTACAATACACTTGCACATCACATGATTACTCTGTCACTACCAGTTCAAATACAGTCCAACCTATAATGATGAATAATATTATAGTTTTACATGCATGTACCGTTTGAGTCCTTGGTCCCACCCTTTTATGACTTGTCCTGCTCCTAGTGTGAACACAAATGGTTCTCCTCTAGGAATGCTACTATCAAACTCGGTGCCATCCTCTAGCTTTCCCTTAAAAGTTGGAAAAGAAAGTCACAGCAATAATTAAAATATATTACATATTCCATACTAGTGACCGAGTCTTCCTACACATATATGCAACAGCATGAATAACCTGTGCTAATTGTAAATTTTCTTAGCGTTTGTAAATCTATACCCCATGGATTGCATACATAGTATTGTCATACTGTCTACAATCCAATGGCACATTAAGTATGCACACTGCTTGAGATAGTGAAAGGTACTTGTAAACCGCTTAGAGCCAGTAAAACCATCAGACTTCTTTTTTTATAACTTACAGTGTAGTGCATGGACAGGACGTCTCCCTTCCGTGACTTAATCTCACAATTTTCCACACGTTTCTTTACTCCAATTTGTAGCTTCTTGACTGGCTTCTTTTCTTCTCCATGTACAACAGCACAGACAAGCACCAAGAAAGTGGTTATTTGAGTCCAATTCAACTGCATAATTAGAGTAGTGGTCCGTCTGCTAAAAATCTTTAATCCTGAAAGTAGGTGTATAATGGCATTTTAGGATAATGTATAACATTACTAATTACATAGCCAATTATGTAATAATTAACAAACAATGCTAATCAGCAATGATATAACATAAATTTGCTGTCTGATTGTCAAAAATGGCTAGTGTAGCTTGTTAATGGTGAGTTACACACCATATGTTGTTATATACATGTGTGCTGTAGTGTGAGCCTTGTGGAGACAGAATTGATCCTGCTGCAATTGGCATGGATGAATTGGGATGCACAATACTGCTTCATTCATAAATGAGATAAAACCAAATTTAGTTTTTACTCTCTGACCAGACCTTAGTCTCCAGTTTTAATCTGACAAACCAAGTGGAAATTTCAGTGTATATATTTGCATCGCCCATATTGCATATTGCCATGACATTTCTTACAAATTTTATTAAAAAATATTGAGCAGGAGAGATACACAACCTAATGGATGAGGTATCCAGGCTGTAGTCTGGTTGGACAGTTGATACCAGTCGTATAATACGATCCGGTATACCGGAATGTACCCTGGTAACTGTCTGGTATACCAGACCATACCCCGCCTACTCCACAGGGAGTGTTGTTCCCCTCCTACAGGGTACGGTTCCTACAGGGTGTAGTCTCTGTTTGCAAACCGGTTGTCAAACCAGAGCCTGAACATTGACAGATGCATGCGTGACACACCCGTTAGCACTGTAGCAAGCTCCGAGAATATAGCACCCATGCGACACAGCAATTAGCACGCACCTACTTAAAACACTTAGCACTTATTGCGAGTAACTCTTATCGCCTACATCACAACTGCAAGCAGCGTATAGTATGTGAGCACAACTGCACAACTGCAAGCAGTGAGCATAACTGCACGTAGCGGAGTATAAATTATATAGTGACAAGCATGGCAAACTTTTTATTGTATCAAGCTTATACTCGAGATAATGAAAGACGACATTTACGAAGAGAAAGAGTTTTCAGAGACAGAACACAACCGTTTGATGCCTACAATGATACAGAAATTATCGCCAGATATAGATTGCCCAGGCATGTCATTGCTAATCTAGTAGATCAACTAGACGATGAGCTCAGCCCAAGGACAATGACATCTCAAGCCATTTCTTCGTCTTTGCAAGTATTTGCGGCATTGCGATTTTATGCAACTGGAAGCATTCAACAAACGGCTAGTGATACACTAGGAATCAGCAAAGCATCTATGTCAAGAATCATTCACAAAGTGTCGCGGGCGCTGGCACACCGAGCTAACCAATATGTATACTTTCCGGAAGATCAAGACAGTGTAAATAAACTAAAAGTTGACTTCTATAACCTCGGTGGATTTCCAAATGTGCGTGGATGTGTTGACGGAACCCATATTGCCATAGATATGCCGAACATATATATATATATATGTCAACAGGAAACAGTATCATTCAATAAACGTTCAGGGCATTTGCAGTGCTAACCTAGAATTTACCAACATAGTGGCCCGTTGGCCTGGCAATAGCCATGACTCGTTTGTTTTCCAAAACTCGCACATTGGTAACATGTTCGCTGCAGGAAACCTTGACGGTTGGCTGCTTGGTGACAGTGGGTATCCACTTCGACCATATCTGATGACGCCTATCTTGCAGCCGAATACAGAAGTAGAAGGAAGATATAACCGTGCTCATAAGTGCACTCGTTATAAAATAGAATGTGCATTTGGTTTGTGGAAAATTCGCTTTCGATGTCTTTATCTGTCTACCGGCAGAGCACTACACTATAGACCTGACAGAGCATGTCGGATAATCATGGCAACCGCTGTACTACATAACATTGCAGTGAGAGAGAAGATTTCTCTTCCTCCTAATGAGAATAAAGCTGAAGACGGTGGCGATGATATTAACGTTGGCGAGAGACCCTCGAATGACAATGTAGATGGTAGGCGTGTGCGCAATGAGCTGATACAACAGAGATTTGCAATGTAAGTGCTAAGTGCATTGTACTGCATTTGAAACGAAAAAACAAGAGATTAAAATGCTATATGATATTTTAATTATATTTTTTTATTTCGTACAACAGTTGCAGTAGCAAGTAAACAAAATTCATCTTTGAAAACACTTTTCGTCTTTTTACAAGTCTTTTTAGAACACCTTATGATAGATATTGCGAATTATAGTCGTTTAATGTATCGAGTCATCAGTTGTAGGAATTTGATTTTTTTTAAATTTATATTGTGTATATATCTCACAGGAGATCCAATTATTTCAATACAATTTTTGTAAGTATGATTAATTACGCTGTTTAAACATATCCTGAATATCACAAGAGATCCAGTTATTTCAATAAAATTTCTGTAAATAAGTATGATTACGCGTTTGATAACATTTATTGATTATATACAGATATAAACACATTAGCTATACGTTTGTAGCCGGCTATTAGCTTCACCACAGGCGGAGACACTCAATCACTGCATTCACACTGCCTGCTCGACACGCACGCACACACCGCAAGCTCTCCACATGTGGTGGAGCGAGGGGGCTACATTGGTAGCGCTACATAAACAAATGCTATATAACTAATAAAAATATATGGTAGATAAATGCACAAATATGTTCTATTGCACTATTATACTTGTACTATTTACAAAGCTGCAAAGCTGGTTTGCGCACTACCTTGTTCTTGCGTCCACGCCCACCACCTCTTCATTTGAATTTTTTCCTTCTCTATTTCCAATCACTGTTTTTCTACTTCAACTTCAAGGCGTTCTTCTTCAACTTGCAGCCGCTCCCGTTCTGTTGTCAACCTCTCCTCCTCCACACACAATCTCTGCCGTTCGATGCTAATGAGTTCATCCGGCTCCACAATTTCTTCATGCTTTCTTTTCTTCGCCGAATGTTGCTGCTGCCAGCCTTCCTTAGTGAGTTCAGCTGCGTAAACAATTGCGCGCTGCGAGCTCTCCGTGGCGGTGAAGGTGACCATGATTGTGATGATGTCTCGTCAGTCACGGATGAAGCGGACTGCGAAGTGTGTCCTATGCCGCTTTCCACACCCCCAGCAATACCTTGGGTCGATGCTGAGGGAAGCAGAGAAGCAATCTTTTCCTCAATGGGAGAGAGGTCTGGCACATTGAGTGTCCCTCCCCCAGTTGCAGCTCCATCCCTTTTCCTCCTAGCTGCCTTTTGCTTGACATCACTCTGGGTGTACTGCCACTTTTTGCGGCATTCCTCGCCTGTCCGCTCAACCTCGCTGACAGCATTCACCTATAGTAAATTTAATATGTTCAGTTTCCAGAAAAAAACTTCTTACAAACATTAAGAACTAATAAAAATCATTTATATTAAAGATAAAACAGTTTAGTAATACATTGTACATCTTAATATAGGTATGAATAAACGGGTTAGGTATGTGAGCTCTTAATAACACAAGTCGTGTAGGAAGCACAGCTGCGTAATCTTCAGTACTGAGAGAGTGTATAATATTCAAGCAATATAGCTAACCTTTTCAGCAATGCTACACCATAGCGCTTTCTTTCTCTGAAAGGTCACGGTCGAAGAGAACTTGCCGAACAAAATATCTTTCTGTAACGATACTTCGTCAGCCAATACTTCCAATTCAGCGAGAGCAAATTTAGGGCGGCGTTTCCTCTCGGTCTTCTCCATGTTGATTAGGCCACAGATGTATACCCAACACAATATATGTTGGGTATACATCTGTGATTAGGCATATGAGGTAATGACAGAGCGTATAACCTATCAACAACTGCGCCACGTGTTTGTAGTTGCCGCCAGCTGACGCGAAGTGGTTTGCTAAATAGCGAAAGCATATAGCGAAGCGTTAGTGAAACGCGTTGTTCAGTAAAGTTGATCGGTAAAGTTATTCGGTAAGTTGTTCGTTATGCCTTTGTTCGCTATTTAGCGAACAAATTACTTTCGATCGTCAGTTAACGAATAACTTTAGCGGACGTTAGTGAAACGCGGCCCTGGCCACAGGCACTTGAAGCGTTTCAATATTAAAATAAGATGCTAACTAAATACGAAATCTATCTACTACCAAATTCTTAATGTTTCTATACTCTCTTTCACCTATTATTGCCGACAGTTTCTTGTAAATTCCGTCCAAATCCTATGTGCAACAAACACTGACTGCCGCCATTCCTCACGCGGCTGCAGTGTGCACACTGACAGTTATATATATAGCAGGTAGGAAAGCGGGATCCCTAAATTCGCTCGACACTCGTTTGATTTCACACTTTCACAGCACGAATACACATCCAACAGCTGCCATCTTTGTTTCTATGTCAAGAACAGTGTT